CGAGCAGGGAGCCCGATGCGGGACTCGATCCAGGGACTCCAGGATCATGACCTGAGCCGAAGGCAGTTGCTTAACCAACTGAGCCACCCAGGCGCCCTCTTTTGCCTATTTTTTGATTGGGTTGTTCGTCTTTGCTGAGTTGTCAAATTCTTTGTAAATATTTTCTCCCAACTTGTTGCTTGTGTTTGCATTTTCTTTTCTTCTTTTTTTTTTTTAAGATTTTATTTATTTATATGACACAGAGTGAGACGGAGAGCAAGCACAAGCAGGGGGGTAACAGCAGGCAGGGGAGAACCAGGCTCCCTACTGAGCAAGGAGCCCGACGTGGGGCTCGATCCCAGGACCCTGGGATCATGACCTGAGCCGAAGGCAGATGCTTAACGACTGAGCCACCCAGGTGCCCCGTGTTTGCATTTTCTTAACTGTCTTTTGAAAAATAAAAGTTTTAAATTTTGATAAGCCCAATTTATTAATGGTTTTTTTTCATTTATGGACTGTGCTTTTGGTGTCATAGCTAATTAAACTTTGCCTAACCCAGGGTTGCATAGTTTTTCCCTTGTGCTTCCTTTTAAAAGTTTAATTGTTTTATTTCTTACGCTAAATTCTATGATCGACTTCAAGTATTTCTGTGTGTGGTGTGAGGTAGGGCTCTAAGTTAATCTTTTTATATGTGGATATCTGTGTGCTAGCACCACTTGTTAATAAACTATCCTTCTGCCAATGAGTTGCCTTAGTGTTGTAAAAAATCAATTGAATGTAAATATAAGGATTTACTTCTGGACTCAATTCTGTTTCATTGATCTATATGTCTGTCTTTATGCTAATCACTGTTTTGATAACTGTAGCTTTATAGTATGTTTTGAAACTAGGAAGTAAAATTGCAATAGGTTTTTTCTTTTTCAAAATTGTTTTGACTATTGAATATAAATTATATAAAATAAATTATATAAAAATAAATTGTAAGTATAAATTACATAAAATTTCTTTGGCTATTTTATATCAATTTACTTATTAATCCTATGTAAATTTTAGAATCTGTTTGTCAATTCCTACGCCCCCCCCAAAAAAAAACAAAAAAAAACCCTGGCCTGCCAGAATTTTGAGAGTATTTGTGTTGATTCTCTATATCAATTTAGGGAGAATTACCATCTTAACAATATTGAGTTTTATAAAGCATGAACACAAATGTTTCTCCATTTTTTAGATCTTCTTTAATTTCCCTCAGCAAAGTTATATAATTTTCAGTGTACAAATCTTACATTTGTTTTGTTAAATATTTTCCTAAGTATTTAATTATTTTTGATGTTATTTGAATAGAATTATATTCTTAATTTCATTTTTGGATCATCCAGTGCTTAGATGCAAAAATATAATTGCTCTTTGTGTATTGATCTTGTATCCTGTGACCTTGTTATACTTGTGTATTAGTTCTAATAGCATTTTGTGCACTCCTTAGGATTTTCTACATAGAGGCTCATGTAATCTGCAAACAAAGAGAGTTTCACTCCTTCCTTTCCAGTTATGGGTGTCTTCTATTGCTTTTTCTTGCCTTATTACTGTGGCTAGGATCTCAAGTATTATGTTGAATAGAAAAACTGAGAGTGGATACCTGATCTTAGGGGAAAAGCATTCAGTCTTTCACCATTTTAATATAATGTTCACTATAAGTTTTTCAATGACATGGTTTTTAAGGGCTGTGAGCAAATCTGGTCCAGCCTCCTTCCTAATTGCATAGATTCCACCAACAAGGCAGTCTCGGCAGGAGAACCAGTCTTTCTGATACAGAGGTGAATGGTGGTAACTCAGGCACGCTGACCCATTTGGTACACCACTTCCTGTAGCTACTGACAAGGAGTCAGATGTGTTTTAGTTGCCTTGGCATCATCTGGGGAGTTTCTTGTCGATGCAACAGTCTAGAGAGACCTGGATTCTAGGCTGGATTTTGCCACTGCTGAGCAGCCAATCACTCAGCCTCCTCAAGAGCCAGTTTCCACATTAACAAAACAGGAACAGTAATCCCTTTCCTGCCCATCTCTCGGCTTCAAGGGGGGCAGAGCAGGTGGAAGACCTCACAAACTGAGGCAAAAGGTCATTGTCATTTTTTAGAGGTAGGAAATGTGTCAGTTACAGGAAGGAAAATAATCCAGAGGCTCTGACTATCTCCTTTCATTTATTGAGAATCACAGCCCTCCGGCCAGCAGAGAATGCTCATTAGACCATCAGGACACCTCCACTCGAGGAGAGTGGCCTGATTTTGGCACTGAATGGAGAGGAAAGGGGAGGAGCAGAGAGATGGAGGAGTCTGGAAAACCCTGTCAAAGGGTGAGGCGGTGTCTCCTATGGGCAGTGCTTGAGCCCTGACTCCTTGGTTTCTCTCTCCCAGGACTGTGTCTGGCCACCCCTACGAAAAATGTTCGGTGGTGCACCATATCAAAAGCAGAGTTGGCAAAATGCTCCAAATTCCAACAGAATATGAAAAAAGTGGGTGGCCCCAGTGTCTCCTGCACAAAGAGATCCTCCTGCCAACAATGTATCCAGGCCATCAAGGTAAGTCAGTGCCATGTGTTGGGTGGGACCAAACTGAATGGAGGGAATGAAATGGAGTGAAATAGGAAATGTGTTTTCCCCTACTTCCTCTGCTTTTCTCTCCAGGTACCTGTAAGTTGGGAGTGTTCCTTCCTCATAGGACACAAGGTTATTTTGAAAGCAGATATTAACATTTCAAAGTGGAGAGACCAAGTGTGGGGAATCTGGGGTTGCAACTCAGATTGTTAATAACAGCTGTTGCAAACACAGAAGCAGTCACATTGGATGAATATGTAACACTGGCAAAAGTCACGGTCCCTCTGAAAGGTAAAACCTCCAGAAGATCATTACTGCCAAACCCTGAGCAAAGGAAGCTCAGCTGGTGTGTAGTTACCACATCACATTGCTGAGGAAGGGCCGGCCAGGGCACCGGGCATTGGACAGACATTCGTGCAAGACGTTTCCAGAGGGAGAGAAAAGGGAATCATGACTTCCGGATGATTTCAGATTCCTTTTGTTTTTTGAGATATAAGATCTACTGAAATAATTTTTACTCATTCACTCAACATATATGTTCTGTGTCCCTGCCCTGCGCCATTGTTGTGGGTACTTGACTCCAGCACAGAGTGGGTAATTTGTGTCAAAGTTTCTAATAATATCTAGAGTTATTGAAACAGTATGTAGGGGGAAAAATCTAGTTTGAACAGTGTTGTAGGCTATTATTTTATGACTGTGGCATGGGGGGAAAAGAGCACCAGCACGCCCTGCTGGTTTAAAATGCAGATTCTTAGACCCTATTCTAACCTATTCAACCGAGTACCTGTGATGAGGTCGCAAAATCTGCCTTTTTAATAAAAGCCCCCTTCGAAATCAGTTCTACATACCACACATCAAATGACATGGTTGGAAATAAAACATTTATTATTGAAGAACCAAGGGACAGTTTAATTCTCAGAACTTTAGAGAACAAGAACTCTCATAGCTTTTAAGCAATGAACTAAATCATGAAGTAAACTGACAGATTGAAAAACATAACAAATTTAATTTATAGCCATTAAAAACATTTAACCAAAAAATTTAGAAAGCACCAGAAGGAATATGCACCAGCTCTGACAAGGGTTTGCTATTTACTGTATACTCTAAAGAACTAATTCAACCTGGTAAGAAATGTAGGGTCATATATGAAAAATGATATGAACCGAGCATTAGTAAGAGGGCATGCATAATTACTAAAAATAGGAAATGTTTCCCTTAGTAACCAGAGGAATACACACTTAAGCAATTTGTTAGCACTTGCATTTTCTAAAGTAATAGCAATAAAATGAAAGCCAGTCCTGCTGGTGATTTTATAGTGAAACTGATCTTTGTGATTGGTGGCATTGTAAATTGACATTACAGATCTTCTGGAAGGCAGAATAACAACAGTGGCCAGGGCCATGAAGATAAACATGCTCCCTGTCTGTGATCCCACCCTCAGATGCCTATCCAAGGCAACAGGTCATCAGAAGGAAAAAAAAAATTTATGAGGACAAAACGATCCATGAAAGCATAGATATCACAGCAAAAACAGAAAGTGCTGAACATTTAAGGCATCATTTGATAAACTATGGAAAAACCACGCTATCATAAAATTTTATGAGGTCAATCAAATCAATAAAGGCTGCAGAAGTAAGACAGTGTCATGCTGTTTTAGATGAGTAAAGCAGTCCACCAAATATTATCTCTACCAGATTGCAAATACAAGAAATATATAAGTATATGAGAAGTAATATGCCAAAGAGGATGCACATGGTTTACTATGATAATTTTAAGATAGCGTAATAGTTCTATTTTCTATTTGATAAAAAAGAACTTAAAAGAAATAAACATAGAGCAAAAGAATGGGAGGAAGCATCTAGAATAAACAACTTTAGATAGAAATGGCTGAAATGAACGACCAATACAGGCAGGGGGGCTCATACAAAAGAGCCAACATAGCAACCCCAAGAGTTAAAGCAGTTGAGCTGATGCAGGGCCCCAGAGGAGGGATCCTTGGCCCCAGAGGAGGACACCTCTCACAGGACATGAGTGAACATGACCGAAAGGCAACGCTTCTGAAGATCCTTCCAGCCACGGAGACTTGTGACCTCCTGGAATCAAATGGCCTGGGTTAGGGCGGGCTCTCTCCTGAAGCTTGGTTGGTGTCTTTGCTTTCAGGCAAACAAGGCAGATGCTGTGACCCTGGATGGTGATTTGGTGTTTGAGGCAGGCCAGGATCCCAACAAACTGCGACCCATAGTGGCTGAGGTGTATGGGACCCAAGAAAGTGAGTTCTCCCTGGAGACCCAGAAACTGGGGTGGCCCTGGCCGTGGCCCTGGGCTCTGTGCAGCCAGAGGGGCTGAGCTGTAGAGGTGGGGTCTCAGATAGCGCCCCCCTTGCAGCGGATGGAGTCCCTGGGCTCTTCAGGCCAGATGCCCACCCACTGGGGGAGGACATGCGTGTGCTCCCAGGGGAAACAGAGGAAAAGGCAGCAACATGGCTCCCCTTTCCGCTCGGGCAAGGTCAAGGTGGGCTGTTTTTCTCCCTCTAAGCCTTTTAATTCTCAGGCTAAGAGCTTTCAATTCTCTCTGTCCCTTTGCAGAGCAACGAATCCACTATTATGCTGTGGCCATAGCCAAGAAGGGCACCAACTTCCAGCTGAACCAACTGCAAGGCGTGAGGTCCTGCCACACAGGCCTTCACATGCCAGCTGGATGGAACATCCCCATGGGTACCCTTCGTCCGTTCTTAAACTGGAAAGGGCCACCCGAGCCCCTTGAGGAAGGTGAGGTGGCTGGGGGATGGTGGGCCATCTCTGTCACGGGTCTCCAGGCCACTTGGTAAACATGTGCGATGAGCCCAAGGCGGCCCTTGGGAGGTGGCAGCCGAGTCTGCCGTGGGCCAAGTGAATCTCTGTGCTCCCAGCCTCACGAGGGAGGCTGTCCAGCAGGGGTGGGGGAGGTGGCTCTCTGCCCGCAGGAGTGACGCTGGGAGGTGTGATGAGCTGTGGCCGGGCTGGATCGCACTGTGTGGCCTACTTCTCTGTGTCCAACAGCTGCAGCCAAATTCTTCTCTGCCAGCTGCGTGCCCTGTGCGGATGGGGGACGGTACCCCCAACTGTGCCGCCTGTGTGCAGGGACGGAGGGCAAGAAGTGTGCCTGCTCCGCCCAGGAACCATACTTCGGCCACTCTGGTGCCTTCAAGTGAGTGAGAAGGCCCTCTTCTTCCACGGAGGCCTTTTCTCTGGCCCCAAGTACAGCTCAGCCCGCCGGCCCGGCCCACAGAGCAGGTCCGGTTCTCCCACTGCCGTGTAGACGGAAGTACTGAGTCCAAAGAGTGAACTGACTTTGCCCGGAGCACGTGCCCCTCCAGCCCCCACCCCTGGGCCCCCCCCAGGTGCCCCTCACCTCTACACCCCAGTGAGCCATCCCCACCCCCCCACCCCCCTGGCAGTGGTCATTCCTTCTCCCTGAAGAACCCTGAGTCTGGCTTTGCCCTCTGATGTCCTGGGTTCCCCTGCGGACTTCTGCCCTCTCCCTAACCACAGAGGAACTGCAGGGGTCTTGTCATGAGATGACCAGCCCCACGCTCCCGGCGGGACGGCTGGAGTGTCCGGGCTGATGTGGTCTTCTCCGCACGGGCCTCTACCCTGGCTGGGAGACAGCGAGCTCTGCCCGACTGCCCCCAGCACCCTCTGCCCCCGTGCTGAGGCTGAGGTTGAGGCTGAGGCTGAGGTTGAGGCTGCTTCTCTTCCCCCATCTGCCTCCTGCGCTCGGGCAGTTTGGCCTGCCTGTCTGTCGGCCACCACTCAGTCCTGGGAGGAAGAACCACACGGTCGAGGATACTCAGATTTTACTCTCTGGTGTAGAGGCTTCAAACCCTTTTATATAGAAAGACCCATTTTGCCCTTTCAGCCTCTAACACAGGAGGAGGTGCGGGCGGGGGGCTGCTGTCTCTGGCCAGCACCTGAGCCATTCTTCCTCACCATCTACCTGGGAGTGGCTCCTGACCCCTCCCCAGATGGGGTGCTCCAAAGCCTCAGAGCCCTGACCTCCGTGGGCCGGACGCCCACAGGAGACAAGCCCTAGGACCTTGTTCTCCTGGGATGCACGAGGAAGAAGTTGGGGAGGGCCGCTCCGTGCTGACCCTTCTGGTGCTTTCTCATTCCACAGGTGCCTGCAAGAAGGGGCTGGAGATGTGGCATTTGTCAGGGACAGTACAGTATTTGGTAAGAGGCAGGAGGACAGCCAGGGGCACTCCTCCTTTTATTTTATTCTCTCGTAATTTTGAGTATGGAGCTAATCGGACTCCTCACCTCTTGGCACACTATTATCAAGGTTCCCTTCAGGGCATGCCTCTTATGTCCTGTTATTTCCAATTTAAGCAATCATTTTTCCTTAAACCCACCATACCCACCGCCTTTCTTTTCCTCATAGACAGCCCCACCACGGCACTTGACACGGGTCCTTCGAGACGTATATGGTCTTGCAAAATGTAGAGCGCCCCTTGTGTTTTTGGGTTCTAAGACCACAGGAGTTTCAACATTAGAAACCATGCTACTACCCAGATTTTCCACCCAGCGTTTTGTTTTAGAGATTTATCTATGTTGTGTGTATGTCTAGTTCAGTGGTTCTAACAGTTGAGGAATGCTCCACGGAATGTGTCCACCAGATTTGAAGTGCATGCTTACATTTTCTTCTGTTAGTATGATTTTGCTGTAGCCATTGTGATAAATGGCATTTGTCAAGGTCAAGAACTTTACCAAGTTCTCCATATTACTAGTTTTCTGAAACTAAAAAACAAACAAACAAAGTAGATGTTGAACATACACATGCTTTTTCTGCATCTATTACTATTAAGATGATCTCATGGTTCTTCTCCTTTACTCCATTAATGACGTGCATTGCTTCAGCTTTTTTGATGACTGGCCATTCTTTCGTTAATGGAATAAATTGACAAAACTTAATCCTGATCTATTAGTTTTTAAAATACTCTGTTAGACTGAGTTAGCTAATGTATATTTGAGATTGATGCATTTTATGTTCATAAGTACAAAAGGCCTGTAATTCTCTCCTGTACTTCTCTCTTTGATTTTGAGATCAAGGTTGTACTAATCTCGTAAGACGAGTTGGGCAGGTTCCTGTCACTTTATGTATCCTGAAGCAATTTATGTACGAGATACATTAGCAGTTCCAAATCGGGCTGACCTCGCTCATAAAAACAGCCTTCTTTCCCTTTCTTTTGATAACACCCAATGTTGGGAAGCGACTCAACTGTATTTCCTGCCTTAAAAGTGTTTGTAGTTTTTATTCTTTCTAGAGAGGTGGGTGAGGCATTGCCCCCTGGCTGGCTACCTGGGGTTGCCTCTGCCACATGGAAACAGATGGGGGCCGGTCCCCCCTCCTTGGCTGGCCTGGCTGCAGTCCTAATAATCCCAGAGCAGCCTGTCTGACTCAGAGGAACACTGGGCTTAGCCCCCAAGGCTTTCTGGGCACTATCTTTCTTTTTTGAATGTTCTGGAGCAATCCACTACCTTTCTGACCCCCCAGTTTTGCAGAGTGCGTCAGGGAGAGTAGAGGTTTTGGTAAGAGGGCAACAGTAGCTCATGGTCAGTGCCTCCAGTGGGCTCATCTGGGCTCCCCTTCACTTCCACCCTTCCTCCAGAGAACCTGCCCAACAAGGCTGACCAGGACAAGTATGAGCTGCTCTGCTTAAACAACGCTCGGAAGCCCGTGGACGCTTTCAAGAACTGTCACCTGGCCCGGATCCCTGCACATGCTGTTGTGGCCCGGAGTGTGAATGGCAAGGAGGACTTGATCTGGGAGCTTCTCCAGAAG